TGTGTGTATGTGCAGTGCCTGCATGTGTGTATGTGCAGTGCCTGCATGTGTGTATGTATGTACAGTGCCTGCACGTATGTATGTGCAGTGCCTGCATGTGTGTATGTATGTGCAGTGCCTGCACGTATGTATGTGCAGCGCCTGTGGAGGCCAGATCCTGTCAACCTGAGTTACAGCGGATTGTGAGCCACCTCCCAATGTGGGAATTGAACCCAGGTCCTCTGGAAAAGCAATCAGTGCTCTCAGTCACGAGCCACCTTTCCAGTCCCTGCTCAAAAGCCAGGGCACTGCTCTTGTCTGTCTGTCTGTTCTGTTTAGATGAGAGGGGGTTTCTCTATAGAATTCTGTCTGTCTTGGAACTTGCTATGCAGACCAGGCTGGACCTGAATCACGGAGATCTTCCCAGGGCTGGGATTAAAGGTGTACACCACCAGATCCCACTGACTCCTATTGTTTGTACTTTTCTGGGGCCCTGGGATTGAGAATTGCCTCTAGAGGGAGGTGCTTGTTCTGGAGATAATTAGCATGGCTCCTCCATCCAACAGTGTATCTACAGGTGACATTTAAGGGGCCATGGCTGAGAGACGAGCACTGGCAGAAACAGCCAGGGTCACGCTCCCATTCCTGGGCCCGTAATGTTGTCTGCTTTGTGCTCCTTAGTGTGTGGGTGTGAAATACCCCCTCAGGCCCTGCAGGCTTGTGTCTGAATACTCAGTCCCTAGACTGTGTGTCTTCTCTGGGATTTCTCGAACTTTTAAGAAAGGGGTTAAGGTTGGTGACCCAGAGCTGGCTTTTGAGGAGGACCACATGGTTCCACTTATGGTCTGAGCTGTTCACCAAGCTTCTTAGATATGAAAGCCAGCACCTTCATGTAGTGGAAGTTTGGGTTTCTTTAAAAACTCAGTTATGTTATGTATATGTTTTTGTTTTAATCCCGAGTGTGGGATATAGGCTGCTTCTAGACTGTCCACAGCTGTTAACTATGTTTGCCTCCTGAAGGCTCGGAGAACTGAGTGATCTTTGCCAGTGGCAGACAGTTTAATCCTGAAGACTCTGAGAGGGTATAAATGCCAGAGCACTGAGAGGAACAGGAGTCAGAGGAGGAAAAAGGCTGCTGCTAGTTCATCCTGCTGCTGTTTGCTGCTTGCTGTACTGCTGGATATCCTGACTACGAAGACTGGACTTGCCCCAAGGAACTAAGTCTAAACTAAGTCCCCTTTCCCCATGAACCTTCTTTCTCTCCAACCTAGTGTTTGGGGGTTGAAGGGAGGTAGAGGTGTTTATTGCAATGCAAATAAAGTAGATAAAAGTTTGCCTACACCTTCACGTGCTTGTTATCACAGCCAGGCTGTTCCAGACACCATGCCTTCCCTGCCCTGTGAACTGAAACCTCCCTCCCTCTCATCACAGCAATGAGGATGCAAAGCTAATCCTGACATAAGAGAAGGGGTGCGGAGAACCCCTTTGTTTGCAAATACTTCCTCCCCCCTATAGTACCACTTCATGGGGGCTGGAGAATTTGCTCCGTGGTTAAGAGCACTTGTTGCTCTTGCCGAGGACCCAGGATGATCCCCAGCATCCATATCAGGGTTCACAACCATCTGTAACTCAAGTTCTAGGGGACCTGCCCTCTCTGGACCTCCTTGGGTATCAGACACACTCGTGTTCTACACACATATATGCAAGAAAAGACATCTTAAAAAAAAATTTCCTGCTTGGAGGGAGGAGGGAGGGTTGTAGGAACCAGTAAATTCAGAAAGCTACAAATTCAAAAGACCCCCTCCCCCAGGTTACGCAATCCATAAAGCATTGCTAAGAGAGAGGAGACTCTTTTAGAGCTGCCTGCAAGCTGTAATAGGGGCTCCCAGGATACAGCTTTCACGAGTCATCACCTGTGCTGAGGCAGATTTTCCAGTGAAGAAGTTGCCTTTGAGTGACCCATGCTCCTCAAAGTAAGCCCAAGAAACTCACTGGTTTCCCAGCCAGATTGGGTGGGGTCGTTTCTCCAGGCTGCCACCAGTGCCTTGTCTGGGGTGAACAGACACCTGTCCACATCACCCCATAAAAAGTTACACAACACCTTCACCTGCACAAATGCTGAGGGTCAGGCTGGCCCAGGGCTAGGGATTGTACTGTCGATCAGAAAATAAAGGTGTGAAAATGGTGAGGGGTGGTAACGGGCAGGGGTGGCGGTTGGCACATGTTCAGCTACTTCCACGTTTCCAGTGGTAGTGTGCAAGGCCTCACCTGGCCACCCAAAGAGACATGCCAAACAGGAGAGACGGCCCCACCAGTCTGACTAGGAGACCCGGGCCAGAGCGGGGAAAGACTGAGCTGGCTACTTTCTAGGCTAAGGGAACCTGAGTGTTCCGTGAGCAAAGCCCTTGCGTTGTGTCTGGCCTCACATACTCTGGAGGTGGTGGGTGTCTCTCCTCTATGGAATGGGCTTGATGAAGTGGTGCCCCTGGGAAAACAGGTCTGAGACACTGGTCAACATAAAACAAGATTAAATGTCAGGAAACACCTTCATGTTTCCTCGGTCTCTCTGCTCAGGACCAAGGCCAATGTCTGAGACAATGACAGCACTCAGGTCCTAAAGGCCCCGTGAGGAAGCGCGCTAGGGACGCTGGCACCTACGTAGGTGGGTGAATACTCCAGACATCTGTGCACAGGGGTCCACAAACACCTGTTCCTACTCCCACGTGCTCTGTGACATGCTGTATTTTAAAAAGACAAATGCAAGTACCCGCAGTCAGGGTCTGGGACTTCCTGACTTGCCACAGGTATCTCCACAAGCCCTCACACTGTATTAAAGAAGGATTTATTGGCACTGGGCCTAGCTGGGAGGGAGCTTGGCGTTTTAAGGACAGGTAGGGACACAGAGAAGTTGCATGGCCTGGGTGGGAAAGGCGGGGGGGGGGCAGTCGGCATTGGCTGGACTTTCTGGTCAAGATGCAGGGTGCACTGTGCGCAGAGTGGAAGGTACACGGTGCTGGGCTCAGGGTGCTGAGTGCACACTGTCGGTGTGACGGTTAACCTTACATTTGAAAGCTTAGACTGACTACGCTTGAGAAACCAAAAGCCAAAAAAGCCTAACATGTAAGCAAGGCCCTAGCTTGTTCGGGCTGTACGCTAGCAGGCCACTTCACTCTTCTCCAAGACACTGAAAACTATTCTTAAATTGACTGATCTTGTAAAATTTGCTGTTCTAGCAAATTTAGTCATAAGACTTACTGCTGTTTGTGCTTTCGTAATCAAACTTGTTTACTCTGCTCAAAAAGCGACTAGGACAACTGCAAGGCATGTATGTTAAAATTTAAGCTCCTGCCTACACGTAGGCAGAGCACACATTATCCTGTTTTTCGCCTTTACAAGTTCTGGGCTGATCTGGCTAGAAGCTGCAGCTTGGGCGCGCTCTCAGGTGCAGACCTGGTCCCAATCAGCCTGGGTACCAGTGTCTAAAATAAAAAGCCTCTTCTTAAAATTTATTCATGGTCATGGTGAATCTCTGAGCAGCTCCAAACCCGTAACAGTAGGGTGCACGGTGCACGGTGCACGGAGCAGAATGTGTGCCTGAGCTCCGGGACAGGGACTGGCTCTCTAGAAGGGGAACTCGCAGACGAAGTAGAGGCGCCGCTCACAGTCATGATCCCACCAGGTACCATCGTCCGAGGCCTGGGCCACGCAGTTCTCCAGGACGCCGCCATTGGGCTGATCCGGGCTGAATGGATGTGATGCCGCACTAGGCTGAGCACCGGACTCCAGGCTGGATGCGCGGTGCCAGGCGAAGAAGGACACGCGCTGGCCGTTCTCGAAAAGGTAGAGCCCTTCCGAGCGCCGGTCGTGCACCCCCAGCCACACCGGCCAGTTGTAGGGGGCGAGGGCAGCGCGTAGGTACCGGCCTAGCGCGTCCATCTGCTGGCGGTCCGCAGGCTGAGCTAGGCTCCCGCCCCGCGCCCTGCACCGCGCCTGCGCGGCCGCCTGTGTCTCGAAGTCTCGCGAGAGCAGGAAGCACTTGTGGCCAAGGCGCAGGCCCTTCAGGCAGCCTGTGTGTAGGGTGAGGCGGAGTCAGAACGTAGTGGGCAGGAGGGGGCGGAGCCAGAGCTAGGCCTTTAGGTGATCAATGAGGTGGAATCAAGGTTGCCAGAGTCAGGAGAGGGAGGAGCAAGTAGGGAGAGGGAGGAGCCAGAGCAGTCGAGCGGAGCCTGAGGGTAGAGGGCGGGATCAGATGAAGGCGGGTTAGATGAAGCGTGGCCAGTGAGGTGGAGGCAGGCCTACTGGGGGCGGCGCCAAAGCGCGGATGCCGGAGAGACCAAAGAAGCAGAGCCGGGGCTGCAGGGGGCGTCGCCACAGCGTTAGATGCTGACAGAGGGCAGAGTCAAAGTTAGAACTGCTGTGACCAGGAGGACCAAGACGGTGCTGCTGGAGGCGTGGCTAAAAGGAGAGAGCCCTTCAGTGGTCGAAACTATAATCAGGAGGAGCCAAAGCACCGAGGACAAAGAGGGCGTGGACAGTAGGAGGGGCTAGAACTTCATTGACCAATGAGGCCTGGCCAGGCTGTCAAGGGCAGGGCCAAAGCATTTGTAGGTGGAAAAAGGTGGGGCCAGGGAAGCCTTGTTAGAGCCGCAGAGTCTAATGAGGTGGAGCCAGGGCCTTTGGAGGGCGTGGCCACGGCGTAGGCGGTTCCAGACAATGGGTGGGGCTTTCAGGGTGTGGCACAGGTTGGAGCAGAGAGTCTCACCCACCTCACAATCTAGCTCCAGATGTGCCAACACACACCAGTTCTGTGTGGGTCTTCTGGTGTCCTGACACCCGTGGTCCCACCCAGGCCCTCTTGGTGCTGCAGAGACTCACCCTCCAAGCGGCCGTGCTCCTGCTCAGCACGGACCTGTGCCTCCTTCAGGGCTTGCACGGAGTCGCCGGTGTCTCTCGCAGCATTCCGCAGTTGCCGCAGCCCCTGGGTCAGCTCAACCACACGGGTGTCCAAACCGTGCAAACGGACGTGCAATTGGTGTAGGCCCGCATCCAGGCTAGCCAAGCGGCCCACTGTGAAGGGACAGAATGCTCAACTGGAGCCACAGTCAGGGGCCCTCAGAACATGGGAGGGCATGGCTCTCTAACTCCCAAGAGTGGGATGCATCCAGGCGATCTGGACCATGTAGATGAAGTTCAGTGGTTTGGGCTCTGGACAGGCACATCTCGGGGCCTGGGGCTCCTCTGATGTGCCTGGCCTCCGGATGGGTCAGTGATTGAAAGACAGGCCATCCTGGCTTCTGGATACTCACAGATGTAAGTGATGGCGTCCTCTGGTGTGGGAGAAGGGCTGGGGAAAGGACTGGGTCTAGAAGAAGGTGCTGTGGTGGTTTCCTCTTCCTCTTCTTCCGCTTGGGTCTCCTTGGTCCCCCAGACCCTTTTGCCTTCAGGATTTTCAGCAAGATTATCCTTATTTCCCACCTCAGGGGGCTGCCCTAGGGTCTCCTGTAGGTTCTGCAGAGAACGCATGTCAGTCTCCTTCCTACCTCCCCTCTCAGCGATTTCTCTGAACCCATTGCCCCATCTAAGCCCTGTTACTTCTTTTTGCCCATCTCTACAACCTTCACCCCAAGCCCACAGTGCCCCTCCAACACTCACCTTCAACATTAGTGACTCCCGCTCTCGCTCCTCCTCCAGGGCACCTCCCCAGCCTCCCTCCCACTCCCTCCCAGGACCCCTGGCTCCATGGCCAAAACCCAAAAGCTGAGGGACCACTAGGGCCCCCAAGAGCCAAGCTGCCTGCATCCAGCTGGGCTTCCAGCACCCAAACTAGTAGAGGTCAGAATGCCTGGGGTAGAAGTGGGGTGTCAGACTGGAGACTGTCCCAGGCCTGTGCACAGATCACCAGCCCCTTGATCCTCTTCCCTGCCAGGCTTTCTCTTCTGACTCCCCTCCTGGTCTGCTCTGTCTCAACTTTTGGTCTCCTCAGCTTCTCTTGGTGTGTCTCTCCGCCCCTCTTGGCTTCCAGGAGGCTCTGCCTCTGTGGCCGGAAACCTCCAACGTTCCAAAGCCTGATCCTGCCTTGGTCTCCCCACACCCAACCCTTGCTACTTTCCAGACTTCTGCCTCTCTTGCCACCCTTTTGCAAGTACAAGCACTTAGATGGACAGAAGAAAGATGGAGGTAGTTCTCCAGGGCATTCTTGATACTGGCAGGCTTCAGCCTTGGTCCAGGAGCCTTCTCAGAAAAAAGCAGGCCATGATAGGATGCTGCCTTTTGGCTCTCCCCTTCTCCCTGTCTTGGCCATTACCGAGGGGGCAGACTGCAGAGTATGCTGAGGTTGTTATTACCCTGTGGTCACCACTTACCACATCGCCTAGTGAAGGGACTCCTCTACCATTCCCAGGCTCCAGGGCTCTCCCAGCCCCCACCCAGATGGCCTATCCATGGCCCTCCCAGCCCTTGTGTGTGCCTGCTTGTGGGGACACGTGTGAGCAGCATGCATGTGTGTAGCTTGAAAGTGTAAGTCCGAGATTCTCCTGCAGGCCAGGCCCTGAGCAGGCTGACGGTGGGGTGGGAAGTGGTGGTGGGTCCCCCATCAAGGGAGAAGGAGGGGTTAACAGTCAGAGCAGGTATCTGCAGGAAGTATACCGAGCAAGCCCCAGGCTCTGAAGAGAGAACATTCTGCAAGCTGCCTCATCCCAGCCTAGACCACTGCAGTCCCCTCCCCTGCTCCCCCTCCTTCCACAGAGCCCCTCCAATCTGGGCTGCTTGCCTGCCGCAGCCAGAGCAATCCTTCCAAGCCATAAATCAGATCGCATTACTCCCCACGCCCCTGCTTCCTCACCTTCCCATCAGAAGCAGGAGAGAAGCCAAACCTGGGACCTCAGTCCTCAGTGCAGCATGCAGGGCTGGGGCCTGGGAGAGAACCATTTTCTGCAGTCACCCTCTCCTCTCACCCTCCTCCTCCTCTGTGTCCTCCCTAGCCTGTTCTGCCATCCGAACCCTTCCCTCAGCTCCTCGTTACTGGAGCTCCAGCTCCGACCGCCATGAAATGCTTTCCTGAAATGCCCTCTTTTCTTCTAGGTGTCATCCAACCGGTTTAGTCACCTTTGTCTCTTGCAAGGCATGGACTTGGGGGGACTTCTGCATCCCCTAGTCAAAACAGGGCTTCCTACCACCTAGTAGGTGCTCAGTTAAGCTGCTGAATAAGGCCACTGTTCTAGCAGAGTAACAACAGCTTCATCAAAGGCCTTAAAGACAGACTTTTGTGATAAGGTTGCACCTCAGTTCTCAAGGTGTCTGCCTGAGTGGAGGTGCTGAGGGCAGTGGGAGGACCCAAGCCAGGGAAGCAGGAGGCTGTGCCATGCCCACTGCATGCCAGACCCATGAGTCCTGCAGGGCTTTTCCAGCTTTAGTCCAGCAGATTCTGCCAATTGACAGAGATCTAGGGGCTCAGGCTCAGGCAAGGAGAAAGGGAAGAAGCTCAGAGAGGAGACATGGCAGCCCTGTGGAGGTCACGGGTGTGGCAGCATCTGGCGAAAGCTGCTGGCTCCACCAGGTGCCTCACATCTGCCCTCGCTGCTGAGAGCCCCAGGGGGGGGCTTCGGAAAGGAAAGGAACACACCAGTTTTCAAGAAAGCCTGGTGCACGGAGGGCAGTGTGACCTTGGGCAGCCTTCTGGCTACCTCAGAGCCTCTCGGATGCATGCTCGTCTGTAGCACAGAGGTCTCTCTCCGGAGGCTGGCGATCTCCGTGCAGTGCAGAAAGGCCTTGTAAACTGTAGCATGCTTCATAGCCACTCAGCGCTCTTGTCAACGCCAGCAGCTGTTCTCCATGGGCTCAGCTGCTCAGCACCTGGGGGGGGGGGGTGCATCAATATGAGGGCTTCTCTGAGCTGGGTACCAACTCCAGCTTATCTCAGGATGCCCCAGAGAGCCTGCAGCTGAGGAGGAACCCAGAAGCTACCTAGAGCTGCCCTCTGTGGATGCTGGTGTTTCCTAGTGGCCCTGGGGACGAGGCTGGGCAAAGAGGACCTCAGAGCTGAAGAGGGTCGAAGGATGCTGAATGAATCTGCCTTGCCTCTGAGAACGCACCCGGGGCTAACTACCTGCGCACAATTAGCTTTGTGTGCACATGTGTGTGAGATTGGAGGCGATGCAGGATGAATGAGGATCAGTGACCTCAGGCATGTTCTTTGGAACTCCGTAGCAGGCCAGGGGAGAAAGCCTCTGTGTCCTCCACCCTTGACATCACCTCTTTATAGCTGGGTGACTAGGGACAAATTACTTAGCCTCTCTGTGCTTCGGAGGAAAGAAGTCCCTGAACCTGCCACCTATCCTGTACTCAGGGATAGCTGCGGAGGAGGAGCTACGGGCAGGGTGTGCAGGGGAACAGGAACAAGCATTTGTGGTGGACAGGGGGGCGGTGAGCTTGCCAGGACAGCACACAAGGCTGATCTTCCGTGTGCTTCTTGTGGGCAGATCTGCAGTTGCAATCGGAGTATGATGTAGGTAAATCTTGCAGGGTGCTGTCCATATGCTGTGACCCGGTGTGACATCGTAACATGAAGCTAGGTGTGTGTCTCTGGTCATGTGTACTGGGCAAGCATGCCCTAAGGAGTAGGCAGCTGTGGTATGCGTGGTTGACAGGACCAGCCTGGGGGAAGGAACATGTAGCTATCTCAGGTACTTCCGTGTGTGTGGGCTTATATGAAAAGTTGTGTGAGTGTATGTGTCACACACACACATTTGGGGGCACAGGACAGGAATCTATAGCCCACAGCAACCGATTTGGGGATATACAGACACTGCAAATACAAGCAGCACCCCACCATGTGCAGAAAGGGTGGGAGCGCTATGGAAGAGGGGCTCCCCTGGGAGAAGCAGGACCCCGTGGGGATACGTGGGGATAAGCAGGGGTGGAGTCTGGGTTTGGGGGTGGGGCAGTGGAGATGAAGGGTGGAGGAGGGCGAGGGGAGGGGGCGGAGTTGCGTTGGGGGGGAGGATGGGCGAGGTTTGGGGGCGCAGGGAGGGGCGATATCTCTCTGCGGGCTCCCGGAGGGAGGGGAGAGGGCGGAGGGAGGGGAGGGAGGGAGAGAGAGGAGAGCAAGAGAGAGAGAGAGAGCGAGAGAGAGAGAGAGAGAGAGACCGGGTGAGGGAGAGACAGCGAGTGCGAGAGAGCGAGCCGGGTGGCTGTGGAGGCGCCGAGCAGGAGCAGGCGGCGGCGCGGCGGCCCCAGGCAGAGGAGGAGGAGGCAGAGCCGGCGGGAGCCGCGGCGCGCGTAGCCCGGCCGGACCCCAGCCCCGGGGCGGGCGAGGAGGGGCGCGCGGGCGCGGCAGATAGGGGGGCGCGCTGCGGATGGCCCGGCCCGGCCCGCGGGGGGGGTGAGGTCCGCGGCCCCCCCGCCCTCCCCCCGGCCCTCGCCCGCCCCCTCCCCGGCCCGCTCGCCCTCCGGGGCGGTGGGGCATGGCCTGAGGGTCCCCCGTCTCCGGGGGGGTGGGGGGTGGGGGGAGGGGGGAGGGGCCGCGGGCGCCGCCGACCGGGACTCAGCAGCCCCGCCAGGCAGGTAAGGGCATGGGGCACCACGGGGAGGTTCTGGGGTAGGGTGCAGTTCCGAGAGCTGGGGTTGCGGGAGAGGGCGGAGGCGCCCGGGATGTCCTTGGCCTGGCGCCGGCTCCGGCCTGGGTGTACATTTAGGGTGTGTGTGGGGGGAGTGCGGGTGTGGAAGGTAGCATGGCCCCTACGGGTGACATCAAATTGGGTTGCGACCCGGTCCCGAGTGCCCCGTCCCAGATCGCATCCTTGCTAGGAGGGTGTGCCCCATCCCCCACGTGCTGCGCCCCCTAAGCCGTACTGGTCTCCCAGGCTCTCCGTGGTCAAGACAGGGTCCTGGTCCCCGCCTCCCAACGCGGCTCCGCCACTCCCCTACTTCGCCCACCCCGGCGCACCTGGGCCCCTCCCCTAGGTTACCCTTGTCCCCAATACCTCCAAGCCCAGGGTCTGGGCCGGAGCCTCCTACGCCGCCTGGACCCGTCGCCCTTTCCAGGCGTCTCCAGGTCCTTCCCACCCGCGCCTCGCGTGCCCATCGCGCCTCCGGTTTCTTCTCCGCGGGCCGGCGCGCCCCTTCGGCTCCCGCCCCCAGTCCCGGCTCCCTCTCTCGACCCGGGCTCTCCCCTCCCCAGCCTCCTTGCTCCCGCCTTCCTCCACCTCCATTCATTCTTCCCGGGCCGGCTCCTGGCCAAGCCAGTCGGGCCCTGTCCCCCCGCAGCCTGGCAGGGCACCCCTCTCTCCCCTTTGCCAACCCCCCTCGCCGATTCCTCAACCCGTCTCGGTACCAGCTGCGTGCCAGCTATTCTTAGCCGCCGAGCTTTTGATTCATGCCGCCCCGGCGGAGTGTGCCCGCTCCCTCCCTCGAGGCCGGAGGGGGAGGGGCCCGAGCTGTCCTGGGTGTTGGGGCAGTGGAGCCCGCACTATGGGGGACCCGGCCCCTGCTGACCTTTCATCCCACCTGCCACCCCGTTCCCGCAGAGCTGGGACTGCAGGACATCAGCCAGGGTCAGCCGAGGGGGAGTGGCTGAGGTCACAGTGCCAGGTGGAATCTGCTGTAGGGCGGTCAGCGGACTGAGCTTCCAAGCCCCGCGGGTTGGGCAGCTATGCATGGTACCCGGGGCTGGGGGGCTTCGGAACTCGGTCCCCGCGAGGGGGAGGGGTCCTTAGCTCACGGTTAGACGCCTGCTCGCCTACAGTTCTTGGAACTCTCTTCCTTAAACATTTCGTCTTTCCTTCCCCAACCCTCCCCCCCCC